TCACTAAGTTGATTTTTATGGCACGAACACATACACACAAACATACACTCATGCATGTACTTTTCAGAGAAAAAAATACAGAAAGGCAGTATCTGTGAAAGTCACTGCTGATGCAGAGAATATGCAGACCTTCATCTGTCATCCACTGGTTCCAAGTCATTGGTCATGAAGTCTATTTGGTTTATAAAGATAATTTTTGCTAGATTTTGCCATGAATGTTAATGTTAATATACTGATTTCATATTCATGACCTTGGTTAATTAAAATATTTTACTGCACTACTTAAAATATTTTATTGCATAAATAAAATATTTTTATATATATTTTTAAAGTATTCCTAGGCATCATCCATTGATGTCAATTGCACAGAGACTAGAGGTAATTTCTGTAGGATCTCAATCTTAGAAATGGTCATGGATAAAATCCCTATCAGTTGTTTACTGAATACATTTTGATCAATAATTTCTAGTTATTTCCATACTGTGATTAATTTTCAGTACTCTTAATCTTGACATTTCTGTGATTTCCACTTACAGATAGCACATAAGGGCATCCAACAGTTAGCTTATACACACATGATTTTGCTGACTGGCTCAAATGTCATGAAGTACATAAACTCGGGAAAGAAAATGGGAAAATTTAGCATGATATCTTTTGTCCATTATTTGTCTCTTATACAGAAAATCAAGATAAGTGGCTCTTGTTATAAATGATCAAAAGCAGTATATTTTTAGGGATTAAAAAAACAGACTAAATGTCAGAAACCTGATCTAAAAATCAGGATAACACCACTGAAATAATTTCAGCAGCCTCCTGTCTACTGGAAAGTTGTATCAAGTAATAATGAAGCTACCTTGGCTTGATGAAGAGAAATCTAGCTACTCCATAAGACCAAAGTAAAATGTCAAAGGTCTTATGCATCGTTACGGAAAATATTATCTACATGGACAATGTATGTAATGGAAACAAAATTGTTTATTGAAAATAAATAGCAAGTCTGACTTTTTAAGATTAAGAGCACATATCAAAAATTTACAAAAGAATCCCCTCACATGAAAGTAATATAGAGAAACCTTTTAAGAATTCAGAGCAAGGAGTTAATTTAAAAGCAAGCTAAACATATCAAGTTCAGGAAATGCACAGTCAAAATTCATAAACCACTTCTTCTGATACAGCCCAGGATGCAGTTGGCTTTCTGGGCTGTGAATGTACACTACTGGCTCATATTCAGTTTTTCAACCGCCAACACCCCCAAGTCCTTCTCCACAGGACTGCTCTCAATTCACTCATTGCACAGCCTGTATCTGTGCTTGAGATTGCCCCGACCCAGATGCAGGACCTTGCACTTGGCCTTGCTGAACTTCATGAGGTTTGCACGGGCCCACCTCTAAAGCTCATCAAGGTTCCTCTGGACGGCCTCCCTTCCCTCCAGCTTGTCAACTGCACCTCACAGCTTGGTGTCGTTGGCAAACTTGCTGAGCATGTACTCAATCCCACTGTCTATGTCATTGATGAAAATATTAAACAGCACTGGTCCCAGTATGGACCCCTGAGGGACACCCATTGTCACCGATCTCCACCTGGATGTGGAGCCATCGACCACTGTCCTCTGGATCTGACCATCCAACCAGTTCCTCATCCACTGAACAGTCCACCCACCGAACCTATATCTCTCCAACTTAGAGAGAAGAATGTTGTGGGGGACAGTGTCAAAGGCCTTACAGAAGTCCAGATAGATGACATCTGTAGCTCTTCCCTTGTCCACTGTTGCAGTCATGCCATCATAGAAGGCCACTAGGTTGGTCAGGCAGGACTGGCCTCTGGTGAAGCCATGTTGGCTGTCTCGAATCACTTCCCTGTCCTCCATGTGCCTTAGCATAGCTTCTGGGAGGATCTGTTCCATGATCTTCCCAGGCACAGAGGTGACCTACCAGGTTGATAGTTCCCAGGATCCTTCTTTCTACCATTTTTAAAAATGGGTGCAATGTTTCCATTTTTCCAGTCAGCAGGTTCTTCACCTGACTGCCATGACTTTTCAAATATCATGGAGGGTGTACTGGCAGCTGCATCAGCCAGTTCCCTCAGGACTCTGGGATTCATCTCATCAGGTAGCATAGACTTATGTAAGTTCAGGTTCCTCAGGTGGTCACGAACTTGATCTTCTTTTACAACGGGAAGGACTTTGCTTCCCCCGTTCCTGTCTTGTGGTCCATCCACTTAAGAAGTGTGGGAAGAGAGGCTGCCAGTGAAGACTGAGGCAAAAATGCTGTTGAATACCTCAGCCTTCTTCCTGTCCATTGTTACCACTTTCACAGTGGTGCTCATCATTGGAGGGTACACTTTCTTTGACCTTCCATTTCTGGCTGACATACCTACAGAAGCCCTTTTTATTATTATTTGTGTCCTTTGCCAAGTACAGCTCCTTCCATGCCTTGGCCTTCCTGACCCCATCCTTACACAATTGGACAGCATCCCTATACTCTTCCCAGGATACCTGTCCCTGCTTCTGCTGCCTGTACATTTCCTTCTTGCCCTTCAGTTTCACCAGCAGGTCTCGACTTATCCGTGCCAGTCCCTTGCCTTCCTTTCCTGGATTTTTTACATCTGCTGATCGAGAGCTTTTGCGGTCTATGAAAAGCATCCTTAAAGATCTGCCAGCTGATCTAGTCCTGTTCCATCACATACCTGCACAGTACCTTTTTATCGCTGCATAAATTTAATTTTTTATTAAGTTTGATTCAGATTTAAAGACAAATAATAAAGGAAGAGAAAAAAATTAAAAGATAATAACATTATTGAGCTTCTTCAAAGTATGTAAAAACATCAGGTCAAATTATATAACATTCTGTAAAAACAGAAAAAAGTATAAATTCACATCCTTTCCCGGTCAAATGTGACGACATATCAGTAAAATTGCAGCATTATTAGTTTAAAGCCTGATGAAATTTACAAATGTTCAATTGCATTTACAAATGTTATACTGAATTCTTGGGTACTGAATTAAAAAGTACACTTGAAGTTTCTTTAACCTGTATAGTTGTCAACAGTTCCTTAAAAGTCTTTAATTCAAAGGGAGAGTGAAAGGGATTCATGATCCCAGCCAATGCTGAACTCTGTTTCTTACAGGATTTATAGTAGCTAGAAGTACTCTAGCTAAAACACATTTCACAGGAATTAAGTCACTTTACAGGTGAACAACTTTTCCTTTGTTACCATGTCTCTTCTCCATTACTCTAGCAATATCTCAAAAAAAGCTATGTTCTTTGAGATATTGTTAGAGAGACACTGAAATCCAGCTAGGTCAAAAAAAATAATCCAGGCTGGGACAAACGAAAACATTCAGCAAGCTTTCCACTTCTTTTCCATTGCTCTTATAACGGAAAAATATGCAGACTACTAAATGGCTGCCCTGCATATGTCCAAAAGGGAAACAATTTGCAAAATGCTCCAGAAGCTGAAAGGTTCTTATAAAAATTATTCAGGAGCTGCATCAGAACAAATTTTGGTAAGCTTTATGATTACAGACTGTCATGGATAGTGCCTAGGCCAGAATTCATTGACTACTCTATACAAATGACAAAAATAAAGCTAAGGATCCCCTTTCAATTGTGTATATAACACTCTTACTCCCCAAGGTCTGCTTAAAAAAAAAACAGTAAAATCTACATTATTAAATTACTTTTGACAATTCTGAAAGAAGACTGAGAAATAACTATACAAAAGTAGAAAGAAGAAATCTTTGCACCTTTACCTCTAGAATTTCTTTCTCTTTGGAGATGTGTTACTATTAAGTAACATTTCTTTCTGAAATGGTAATGTTACCTTAAAATTTAACGTGAAACTGTTAGACACTTTGTTATAAGCTTAACTGTGACTTGCAATCAAACTACTTGTCCCATCAAAGAAAGGGACAACTTCCAGAACTAAAGGTTTTAACAGTAATAAGAAATAAAGTTTCAGAATTTTTATTTATTTTTATTTTTAGAAAGAGAATAGCAGAACTGGAGAACCCTCAATTAAAGAAGACTAATAAAGGTAAAACCGAGAACTAATATGTACAATATTACAAATATTGGTCCATTATTCTTGAATAAAGAACATTTAGGATGAAAGCTTTATTTTCTAGAGATTAAAAGGCAAACAGGCTTTCTTAGACAAATTTTGATCCTAAACCAAAAAACAAAAAAACTTTTTCATAGACTTATAGAGAAGTGAGTACACCAGCTGTCCCAGCCAATTAAAAACCTTTGAAATATCTGTGGCTACTTCTACATCATAATTAGAAAGTTGTTCATGACAAGCCAGAACAAAAATAACCTCCTTGTATTGATCCACTTGCCTTAGTGGACAGTTTGCATATGACTATGATGTTCAGACACATCTCATAGTGTGGGAAGCTCAGGACATGATCCAGAGGACGCTTTTGGTGCTCTACAGTGTCATTACTATTTGCTTACTTCTTCATAGATAGTCTGACCTTGCTGTTGTCCCAAGAGAAGTCCAGAAAGTACTACAGTGACATAAGTCAATAATGGAGTACTATAGTTAAGTTTCGGTGTGATTACAGCTTTGTAGCCAATGGAGATCATATATTGGCAAATCCAAAGGATATGTTTTGAACTTCTAGCCCTGCTATCAGGGATCATTGTGCTGAAGCATTCAGAGGTGTTTGTTTCAGTTATTGCATCTCCCAAGGTTTCTATGTTATTTGCTAAACACAATAACAATATTACTGCACCACTTCAGCTGCTACTGAGACCTTCTGTCATTACTGCACATGCACAAATGCATATAAATATGATTATTCTAACTGCTGTCATGAGACTGATGGAAATGTTGTGTAAAGTAATACCTACTCCAGTCCACACACTTTGCAGAAGAATACACATTATCTACTTACTAATGCATTCAGGTAAAGGTTTGTCCCAGTGGCCATTTGGTTGACAAATTAAAACTGAAGAGCCAAATAAAAAATATCCAGGATTACAGTCATAAAATACCACAGTGCCGTATGTGAAATTTCCATGTTCGATTTTACTTTCTCTTATAGAATTTGCAGGAATTCCAGGATCAGAACAATTGACCACTAAAAAGAAAAAGAGCACAGACTTGAGTGTCATACAAATACAGTCTACTAAAATGGTCTTTTAACTGTCTCCTATCCTTTGTATAAGAAACTTGCAATGTGTTGCTACCCTGATTTTATATAACCTGATTTTATGTATAATGATATTGTATTAGGAACATGATATGAAACCAGATGATGCTAAAATCAGGAGACGCCAAACTCAGAACAAATAAAAGGAAATGTTTCATCATAGGGTGTGATAATGTTGTAAAACTTTGCCACTAAAAGTGACTGGACATACAAATATATTCAGTTTATACTCTTGCCTTGATATAAACTTTTACCCACAGCTGGAAACAGGTTATGGGGCTAGATGTGCCTTTGGTCTAACCCACACAGCCATGCAAATATACTTATGTTCCTATACGAATATTTTGATAATGAAGCACCTTTGAGGCAGATGTTTTGAGCTAAAGGGCACATGGTCAGTTAGGTAAGACTGTGGTGATTCTACTAGAACAGGGAAATATCCCAACAAATGGGTATATGCTTTTAACAATAGGGGCATACTTTGATGATTAAGAATACTGATGGATTTTTTGAGTCCTCAACTACTTTAGGATTTGTATGTTGGAAAATCACTGAGGATTGGTTTTGTTTTTTTTTTTTTCTTTTTTTTGTAACTTACAGCTGTCTGGTGAGGGGAGTATAATATTTATTTGAGGGAGGTCATGGAGATTTTTTTAACAGTTTCCATAGAATAGATTCTCCTGGTCAAATAAACACATCATCACCTACTCAAAGTTACTTGAGTAAACTATAGTTCATGTAAAAATTACTACCCCTATATCCTTATAACCAATTGCACGTTTATATGCATACACATGTATGTATCTGTGCAAATATATATCTCTGCATGTGAATGTGCATAGATGTATATATAAAAGTATCAAAATATGCTAAAAAGCTCTGTAATTTAAAAAGAAAAAAAAAATTGCCAGATAAAATTTCAGAGCATTTTTCCTACTTACATTACTCAATGTAGTTATTTTATGGCTCACCTACTTCTCTCTAGTCACTATCTTTATAATGGATTTGCTTGGCAAGGTTTTGGTAGCAGGGGGGTTACAGGGGTAGCTTCTGTGAGAAGCTGCTAAAAGCTTCCCCTATGTCCAATACAGCCAACGGCAGCCAGCTCCCAGACAGACCTGCCACTGGCCAAGGCCAAGCCAAATGGCAACAGTGGTAGCGTCTCTGTAACAATGTGTTTAAGAAAGGGAAAAAAAAGCTGTTGTGCAGCAGCAACTGCAGCCAGAGAGAGAAGTGAGAATACACGAGAGAAACAATTTCGCAGACACCAAGGTCAGTGAAGAAGGAGGAGGTGCTCCAGGTGCCAGAGCAGAGATTTCCCTGCAGCCCATGGTGAAGACCATGGTGAGGCAGGCTCTGCCCCTGCAGCCCATGGGCAGTGGAGCAGATATCTGCCTACACTCCATAGAGGACCCCACACCGGAGTGGGTGGATGTTTGAAGGAGGTTGTGACTCCATGGGAAGCCTGCACCAGAGCAGGCTGCTGGCAGGACCTGAGGACACATGGGCAGAGAGAAGCCCACACTGGAGCAGGTTTGCTGGCAGGACTTGTGATCCCATGGAGGACCCACACTGGAGCAGTCAGTTCCTGAAGGACTGCATCCCACGGAGGAGACCCACGCTGAAGCAGTTCATGAAGAACTGCAGCCCATGGGAAGGACTCATGCTGGAGAAGTTCTGGAGGACTGTCTCCTGTGAAAGGGACCCCATGTTGAAGCAGGGGAAGATTGGGAGGAGTCCTCCCCCTGAGGAGGATGGAGAGGCAGAAAACAACCTGTGATGAACTGACCATAACCCCCGCTCCCTGTTCCCCTGTGCTGCTCAAGGGAGGAGGAGGTAGATAAATTGGGAATAAAGTTGAGCCCAGGAAGAAGGAATGGGTAGGGGGAAGGTGTTTTAAGATTTGGTTTTATTTCGCATTACTCCTCTCTGAGTTGATTGGTAATAAATTACATTTTTCCCCAAGTTAAGTTTGTTCTGCCCATGACAGTAATTGCTGAGCGATCACCCTGTCATTATCTCAACCCATAAGCCTTTCATTATATTTTCTCCCACCATCCAGCTGAGGAGGGAGGAGTGATAGAGCAGCTTTGGCGGGCACCTGGCATTCAGCAAGGGTCAACGCACCATAATCCTAAATGCTGGAGTCTGCTTGTGTGCTTCTTCTAGCAGTTCTCAAATATTGGTCCCACAAAACTAGAATACAAAGATTTTTCAAGGACAGAGATAACTTTATGGTTGGATTTGTCTTTTTTAACATTAAATGATAGATCAATTTTTTAGTTCAATTAATGAACACTGTTAAAAATGTGTTGGTTTTGTTTTCCTGGAGGAAAATTTTAACTGTATCTCTATCCATTTTCATTGTTGTAGACAAGCATTTTATAACAATTGTGTATTCATCTTCATGTTATTAAATATTTTTAATTAAAGTACATACTTATTAATAAATCTGGCATAGTGAACACTCGAAAGAAAATACAAGGAGCTTTTACCATTTCAATAGATTTTCAGTATTATTATAGTTGTCTAGGAAATTAGCTATTTAGCAAAGTTGTAGACAATATAACAGCAAATGCACTGCTGAATTTATATGACGACTGCAAATTCAACCTTCACAAAGGAGTGCATCTTTATCTACAATATTGCACTTTAGGCAGTTTACAAATATGGAAGGTAACATCTTTTTTTTTAAATTTGACTTCAATGCAAATAGAACAAAATCATATTAATTAGAATTGATTTCACTGAACATTACAGACACCACTAGTATAGTTCTACACAAAGTTGGTTCTTTTTATTCTTAAAGTCTGTTCTAAAACCAATAGAAGATTTCATGACTGTGTAAAATTTCAAAGAATAACCTGATCAACTTGTTTACTGATCCCTACAGGCCAATAACATATCAGACAGTTTGGCACATTAATCTGCAATACCAGAACATTGAGGTGATTTATAGTAACTGGACTGAAAATTAGATTAATTTGGTATCCTTAATACACAGTACATGTTTAGTATTGTAATTTAAAAAATAATAACGTCTCATCAACAAAAAGGTCCTTGGAAATTTTATTTCTGTAAACTATTTGTCAGTATCACTTAAGGCAAAGTGATCAAAGGAAAGTGAAGAACACCTATTGGAAGGAAAAAACAGTAAATAAAATTACTATAAACACCTAACATGACTTAGGCTGAATACAGATGAAAGTCCATAGAAGCTGCTGGGAAGATGCTGAAAAACAATCGATACAATTTCTGCATATGTGCAAGCAGGTTACAGCAAAAAGTACATTTTTCTAAATGAGAACAATTAAAACATTGGAAAAATACATAACAGACTTAAAAAGGACAATGGTGCTAAAACCTTTCTAAGAGTACATATGGAAACTCAAATAGAACTAATTTAATGATTTTTTTTTTTTTCAGTGAAAGCAATTTAAATATAGTATCCAGAAGTGTTGAGAACAAATCAAATGGATTATACTAACAAATTAGGAAAAAAAAAAAAAAAGTCAAGATAAGCAGTCAGGTCAATGGAAATGTAAAAGGAAAATAAAAGTATGTTTTCTTATGCACCTATTGAACTATGTTGGCTAAAAATGCAGAGAACATTATAATTTTAAGCTCCTAATTAAGTCTGCATAATTTTGCTAAGGAACTTGTAGAAACCATTTTTAAAAAATCCATACAAACTACCGACACATAAAAATGTTTCTCTGCAACAGTTATCCTGGCAACCTGAATGTAGAACAGATCTAACTGAAAAACCAGAATCATGAAACATCATCTTCAATAATTTGGTGCCTGTTAGTAAAATAGGCATCATTTTGTCTTGACAGCGTCCCCTTACCTTCAGTTTATTTTTCAACCTTAATTTTCCAACTAAGTTTGAAATCTGTAAATGCTTGCATTCTTACCTTTGCATATTGGAGGTGGGTGGCTCCACTGCCTATTAGCCTGACACTGTGCCTTGGTTGGTCCTTGCATAACATAGCCAGTATTACACGAGAATGTCACAACATCATTGAAGTTGAAACCGTTTCCACTTGTTCTTCCATAAATAGGACTTCCAGGGTGACCACAGCTAACAGCTAGCATAGCAGAAAGCAAAGAAACAAAAACCAAAGAGAGCATACTGTTGCCACTTTTCATGATTTATGTCAAAATAGATAATGATTATATAATAGTATTTGTAAGTTTTGATATTATAAGATACTGAGTACTTTCCATGAAAGATTCACATTTCTCTGAACAGAATAAGAACTAAGAACTGAATAAGAACTAAGACATAATTTAGTAAATGTTCAAGCACATATTTAAATATTTTTAAAAAACTGAATAGAGTTTGCCATGCACCAATCAAAGCAAATGTAAAAAACTTTTCTGAAGAATCAGGAAAAAAGCAAATGCTTGATTTTCATTACATATAGCCTGAAATTGAAAGGAAATATTTCAGTGCCTTAGTTCCTCAGGTATTATTTCTTACAAATATGTCTTAGTATTGACCCACTCTGGTTTATCTTTGAGGCCTAAGTACTTCATGAAACTGTAAATTTATGACTGGATATATGACACATTGTGGACATTGTGAAACTTTTCTGGTTTTTATACAAAAACTGATTACAGAAGGTAAAGTTCCTTTTCTGCACCCATAAAGACCATGTGCAAACATAGTAAGGAAAACAAAACACAAATTAATTTTCCCAAAATAAGTAAAAAAATGTATAATTATGTTTTCCTAAGCTTTATCAAACTCCAGTTGTTGGCAAGACAAATAAAATGTTCACCATTAATTTAAAAGGAAAAAAAGCCATAGAATAAATTATTTAATTAATTTTTATCACTTTATAAATGTCACTGTTTTTCTAAACTTGTTTGTTAGGTCTAACAAATACCCATCCATATAATCTAAATAAAGCTTTTAACAACATCAAAAAAGTGAAAATGGTCCTTAAGAACTAGTATAGCATACAGACAAGTCACAGTATATGCTATGAATAAAAGTTAAAATAAACTCTGTGTGTTCTACTAACATCACTATGTTAGTTATTTTAATCAAATATATTATCTTTATGTTATCTGAAATTTTTATATAAGGAATTGAATTTTTTCCCAAAAAGAGTAACTGGAATCATACACTAAACTGTTAACATTTGTAAAATTGTCAGGCAAAGATAGGCATTCGGCTCACAAAGATATTTTTCAAATGTACGTATAAGAACAATAAAAATTATTCTTGTGAAAACAGAAGTATGATATTTGCATAAAATTTAGAATAATACCCACGCATATACAGTAGCAATACACAACAGCTGTAACAAGTCTGCTCACTGTATACACAGGAATGGTGAATTCAAACGTGAAAAGCTCAGAATAACTAAACATATTATCTCAAAAATTCAATTAAAACAACTGAAACTGAATAAATAAAGGTATATGGGACTATTTTTCCAGACTTAATTTGAACCTCTGACCTGAAGTGGAGCTGTTCCTAAATATCTATCACAAAGTTAGAGGCAGCTGCTGTTTATAGCAGCCTTTTGCAAGTCTAAGCTTTTTCACAAGTCTTGTGTCCTTTTCTGGCACGCTTTATTGCACATCCTCCTGTATTCAAATAAACAGCTTCCATTTGATTAAAGAAGAAAATACGTCTATATTCTTTGCTGTTAGCACATCCAAAACAACTTTTGTTTTCAGTTCTAACACTGATATTAACATTTAAATTTAGAAATTCTTGATTAATGGTGCCTAATTTTATTGCCTTAACAGTTACCTATAAAGAAGTGTGTTGGTCTGAAATGTAATATAAATTAATGATCTATTACTATATTACAAAGCAGAAACAAAATTATTATAGTAGTGTTATATCTATAAAGTAAAACAAAAGAGTGAGCAGTAAGAATTATGAATTAACATAGTGTATTATGATTCATCATTCAGATAATTCCTGCTACAAAAATGTAGCTACAAAAATAGAAAATTTGAAGTGGATTAATACATTTTCAATACACTGATATTACTGAACCTGAATTATTGAAACATATTGTAATTTGATTGAGAATCTTCAAGAACTCTCAAATTTTCCTAAATGGAATACAGCTTAGACTGTTATTACTTAATGGTATTTCATGTGATATGTTGACACACTTACCACACAAAAGGAGCCTCATTAACAAAATACAAAATTCATGCTAAAAAAGCCAAAACCCAAACCAGAAAGCAAAGTAACAGTATCTCTGATCTCTGTGAGGAGACGGAAAAAACTCAAAAGCATGAGTTTATTTGTCATTCCTGTAACATTAATCAGTATGTGTTCCATGCTTACTTACGCACACAGGATGGAAGCTGACCAGACCAGTTGTGATCCTGTTGACAGATTCGTACAGAAGAACCAATCAACCGAAAACCAGGACTGCACTGGTATACAACTGTGTCTCTATATCCGTAATTTTCTCCAATTACTTGACCATTGACTATAAGATCTGGAACACCACAGTGACCAGCTAGATTTTTCAAAGTAAATTAAAAAAAATAAAGAAAAAATGATCAGTAACTATGCCAGAGAAATTTTAAATATACATCCTTAAAACAAAGAAATGCTGAACATCTTTCAATTTTTTTTACTTCATTCAAAGGTCTTTTTTTATTAACAAGGAAAATTGCAGTATTGCGTTTGTGTAGGTAGAACTGTACACAAAAAAGACAACTGTATTACAAAAAGAGAGCGTAGCAAAGAGATTAAATCTCATACATGTTATCAAATTTATTTTAAAAAACATGAGTAACTCCTTTTTATTAAAAAACCTGTAAATTTCTATGTTATTTCTCTTAGTTTTAATTTGGTTAAGAATAAACTGAATAAAGTTAACATTACACCATTATAGATTTCAATAAATAAATATTAAAAATACATCTAAATACAAATAAAAATATAATAAATATCGATCAATGTGGATATTATAAATATAACCTTCTTAAAATTGAAACAAATTAACTTGGACAATTTGTTGCTGAAATATGATGCTCTGGATTGTCTTCCATTCTTTCTCTCCTATCAATCCCAGAAGAATCCCAAAGAGATAAACATGTTTGGGTTAAAGATAGTCAGTGCAAATGCATCCAGATATCCTGCAACCAAAAACCTTTTTATGTCTTGGACTAATATGCTACCCTGTATTCTCAAAATCTAAGAAATATTTTATTTACACTATGGAAGTCACAAACAGACATTTAATCTAGACAGAAGCTGGGAAAAAGAATGAACTATGTGTCATTTGTTACTATTTGTCTTAATGAACTCTGGAAAATGGGCACTGCGACTCAGCAAATAATGTGGTAACAGAAAATCCTCTGAGAATGGTTGGCCTCATGGAGGCTGTGCCATATGGTACAGAACTCACTGCAAAAATAAGTAAGGCAAGCAAGAAAAATGAGTAGTGTTTCAACTAGTACTTTATTGGAAAAAAAAAATAATATTATCAGCCATCCAAATTCCTCTGCTCTCCGTTTCTCTGGCAGTTCTCCTCCAAAAAAAAACTCCCACAAACAAACCCCCAAAACATGGGGCTGCTAATAAGCAAGGACATTTACAATCAATATAGTTTGGATTATTTTATCCTTTGAACTTTTAAGTGTTTATAATATTCTGACATAATTTTCAGCATTTTGCCTCACTCTTTCAGGGCTAGAAACTCCCTACAAAAAAAATAAAAAAAAAAAATAAAAAAAAATCTATAGTTTCTTATAACTTGCATCTGGCAACTTAAGCCTCATAAAATATTTTGTCATACGAATCATGATAAAACTATCAGAGTTTATAATATAGGCATTATGTAAACCTTCACACAGATTAAATTGTAAGTGCAATTCAACTTCTGTATAAGGAACAGGAGTCCAAATCTGGTACTGTTCAAGAGTATATTCCCCCCCTGTTTGTCCCCTCCCCATTTCCCTCAGTGTTACTTAAGGACCAGGTGTCTACATTTGGTCTGTACCCAGGGCTAAACTGTAACAGTCACTCTGTTGCCCAAAGACCCCTCACCAACCAGGGTGGGGAATCAGGAAAAGCAGAGAAGGCCCATGAGTAGAAGTGAAAGAGAATTAATGAAACACCACCAATACCAACAGAGATTATATAGAGTTATCCTTTGCTAAACTAATATCCAGTCATCACAATCAACAGGACAGTAGTCCTTAGGAGAAGCCAGAGAACAGACAGAAGGAATCCCATGAGAAATCCCACAGGATCTCCCTCTCCATAGCAAACCTTCTCCCTTTATAATGACCATGATGTTACAGCATGGGCTGCCCCTGTAGCTCACTCAGGTCAGCTGCCCTGGCTGACTTGAAACTGCTGATGGCCTGCCTAGCATGGCTAGGCTGTGATTGCGTTCCAGCCAAATCAGGCCCCCAAGCGCACTTGAAATTTGTTTTATGTTTTCTGGGATAAGATGGCATAATACATGCTTACAAAATTTTTGTCAGAGTACTTCTCCAGGAAAGTCATAATCTGTTCAGCATGTAGTAGACTTTTTGTACGTACCACAAAGGGCCCAATTTCTCTATCCTATCATGTTTGTGATGATAAACAGGACTAACTGAATGAGGAGTAAAAACTGAGCTGGAAAAGATCAGTTTCTAGAAGAACTGCAGCCAGACAGTTTGCAGTGATTCAGACCATGTTCAAGGAAATAATTTTCTAATCATATTTAATTACAGTATTTGGCCAGGTTCTTAATTAAGATTTTAGTGTTGCTTTATGACAGTAGAGTGGAGGCAGAACACACCACCAGAAAGGTCAAGCTCTGTTTCCTGTGCAGAGGGAATAAAACTGAATTAATTCAACACATCAGGTGATTAAGATCACACTGCAGTTTCTGCAACTGTGCATGGAAATTACAAAAAAACACACAACTACAACAGGTGAAAAATTCATTGTAAATCACCTGTAAGTCTTGCATTAATGTCTCTGTCTAGCTTGAGAAAATTTAAAATTACTTAAAATTCTCATCCTCTTAGTCTACTTCCTCTCATTGTCATAAATTTCTCAGACCCTAGTTTTGACAACTTCTTTTGACTTTTGAGTTTCTTTTTTTTCTTTCTTCTTTTCTTTTGACTTTCTTTGACATCTTCTGTTGACAAGGGGAGAGCAGTGGATGTTGTTTACCTGGACCTCAGTAAAGCACTTAACACTGTTTTACACAGCCTTCTCCTGGACAAACTGGCAAGGTACAGATTGGGTGGGTGATCTGTGAGATGAGTAGGGAATTGTTGAACAGGCCACACTCAGTGGGTAGTGATCACTGGTTTTTACTCAGGCTAGCAGCCTGTCACAAGTGGGGTCACCCAGGGATCGATACTGGGCCTGACACTGTTCAACATCTTCATATACATGTTTATTATACATTAAGGATATGTTTATATTCGTTATTGCACATCACAGTAGCTTTTATGAACAATTCTGCTGTTATTTGGTTTTCCATTTAAACTTCCATTTGAACTCTCATGTTAAGGGATTTGTGACAAATAAAGATACGTATTTCCCCTTATTAACATTCTGAAATGAATTTTCGAAGTGCTGTTCAATAGCCTTTGATGCTTTTTATGTGTATTATGTGTTTACATCTACATATACAGGTGTATATATTTATAATAGTGAGTTTTGAGATTTTAAGGATTTTTTTTTTGTGGACGGTTTTCAAAGCTTTCACTTTACTACTGATTCTTTGATAGTCTGAGAAAAACAAATTCTACACATGTATAGTTTCTGAGAAACTGCCTTTGTTTCTGAATGAGACATACTTATTGTGCAATGGCATCAAAGATCAACTCTATTCCTTCATTTTATCTCACAGCTGTATCCCTAAAAGCTTTTTCCACTCACTTGCCAGTATTATACATATATATCATCTACTATATAATTGATGTCAGTTTTGTCACACTGTTATAAACAAGGAGTAACATATGATTTCACTGCAACAAAAAATAGTGCAAAGCCATAAAGCGACACAAATTTAAACCTGTTCTCATTTGAGAAATATGTCATACATACCTCAGTTGAATCATTATGGAAGAGGAACATTTTAGTTGTGAAATTAGTTATAATGAAAATTAATCAAAGGATAAAACTGAATGTTGTAATAACTAGCCTGCACTTAATATAACCATAAGGTGTGGCTAACGGTCTTTTGCAATGAGATAGCTTAATTATTCCTCCTAAATGCAATCCAGATACAAAACTGCTCAGGAGCTAAACTCTGCAGGTGGAGTGTTTTCATGGGGGACTGAATGCAAACACTGCAAACTGGGTATTATATTGTAAAAGTTCTCTGTAAATATGAACAAGACCTGCCAGAAAAACTATGGCAGAAAACTGAAAACAGGTGCAAAAAGATAAGGAAGTAGAAAGCAAAGGACTGCTGAGAAAAAAACTAAGAGTACTCTTGGGAAAACAAAGGTCCAAATAATGAGCAGCAATGTTGTCTCCTGATTTTTTTGTATTTTTCTTGTTTGCCAGGAAATTTATTTTGCAAATAAATGAGAAAACATTTAAGAAACACCAATTCTATTATCAATTTACGCTCTTGTTTAAACAATCATTACGTCATTGAATATTTACTTATCATGTACAAAATACTTAATAGTACTGTTATTATCTAACGGAATATCACTTCTGGGCAACCTGATCTAGCTAAAGAAGTCCCTGCTCACTGCAGGGGGGTTGGACAAGATGACCTTTGGGGGTCCCTTCCAGCCCAATGCATTCTATGATTCTATGATAATATTCTGATTCTAAGACCAATTACAAGCAAATATAAAACTGTTGAAGTCACTCTAGAAGGCTATTGAAAACAAAAAAAAATAGAAAACAATCATATAAAATTTGTGGGAAATATGGGACAGAGGATGTGGTTCAAGCAGTAAGATCAACATTGTACTTCTGATATGCATTTATCAGAATGAATGAGGGAGGAAAAAAACACTCTTGCATGGTACATTGCAAAATACAAACACAGAACAAATAGAACATTTACTGCACTGCATTAATAACTGGGTTATGAACAGAAGAAAAGCTGAAATAAAATTAGCAAATGTTAAGCAAAATCTCCATTCAACAGTTTACAACAATTAGATTATCATAATTACTATTACTGGGGGGAAGAAAGTATTCTAAAACCCCAATAGTAAATAGCTGACTTCACACTAGGTTAGGATTCTAATTTTAGACTAGGCTATTATAGTCTTGTTTTCAGGATAGTCTTATTCATTGTCAATGTCTTTATTCTAGTGCTGTATCATAAGCCTGGGTGTAGTTCCATCTTTTCTGTGATCTGGATATAAAAGACCTATACAGCAGTTCTATGAATCCAGTTGAGACCCCTAGGTCTTAATGTAACCCATAATTTATAATACTGAATCAAAAAGTGTCACTTTTGTAAAGGCAATGAGTGAATGCTATAAAGAAGAGATTGAATGTGAAGGTTCTACTGAGAAGCAGATTTGA